TCTACGGCACCAAGGTCGTCCCTTTGGTTGTTATTGTTATGGTATGCTACATGTGGTTATGATCTGTTAGATCAGAATCACAGTAGACAGTATGTTATGCTCTTATGATCCGTAGGGATCAGTATGTTAGTGACCCGCTAGGTCAGTAATCTAGTTACAGGAGAATTTTATGATTGATGATCAGTGAGATAGATATGTTTGATGTTTGTATATGCCAGTATATGATAGTTATGCGCACATGGTTATTTGCTTGTTGGTTGGGTTGAGGCAGTCCTGATTTGTGCTGAAGGCCAACATACCCTATGAGCATTCCGGGTAGACTGTAGGCCCACGTGGAGGACCAGTCATGCCAAAGGCACAGGATAGATTTAGACAAACTGTAGGCCCTGTAGGGCAGTCCAGTCAGGCCGATGGCCCAGTATGCATTTTGATTGATTGATTATTACTGATATGGTATTGTCAGTGTGGTGTTGGTGTTTTGGGGGTAGCTCACTAAGCTCTCAGGCTTACAGTTTTCAGTTTATTGTTTCAGGTACTTCAGGAGACCATGGCAAGGCGAAAGCATGACCGTACCGCTCCTCATCCTTATGTTATGATTTTGGGAAACTCTGATGGATATTGATTTGAAAACATTTTTGTAAAGAAATGTTATTTGATTTTATTTATTATTGAAAAAGATTAAATTTGGCGTAAAATTGATGGATGTTACATGATCATTAGTAACGATCCGTTTCATGACTTTACAAAAGGTAATTTCCTTATGACTAATGGTATAATTGTCAACACGAGCACATACTCTACAAACTTTAATTTCTTTCATTAATCTTATATTCTTATTTATGCAGATTATCATTCCAATTATACCGTCAATCATAAACACTTTCCAAAATAATTATATCTATATTTATCATGTTTCAATATATAGAATCCAGACATTTATGATTAAATCGTTTAATAAGGAAATATTATCTTTAAATCTTTTCAAATTCATGTACCCGTATCAATTTCAAATCCGGTCATTTAATTATATCTTATTAATTATGGATGTAAATCATATATTTTTCATAACTATTTTAACTTAATATAATATCAGGACTCATGTTTTGCAATTATTCCATTTTCTATATTTTGTTATGATATATAGATATAGATATCTTCTAAAATCACTGTTTACCATTCTATATATCCTTATTAACCCTATATAATATTACGTATCATATAAATCACAAAAAAAATGTTTCTTCAACCACTCAATCATGAAAAAAAAATTGTTTCTCCAACCTCTCTTTACACTTGGTGCTGCTTACTTCTATCATTCATCATTCATAATAGGTTTCATTATCCTCTACAATGTTTGTTTTGTTGTTATATTATGAATCATGTATGGAATGGTGTTTTGAATATGTTTATTATGTATGCAAACTGGTTTATTTTTTTTCCTTTCTTTGGTGTTAAAATATTTAATAATTCTAACTCTTCTTAATTCACATTCTGTCATCGAACTTCCTTTGCCGAATGCTATTTGATTTTCATCTTTATGGACTTGAAAACTATTTTTTTGGTGAAGGTGTGGTTTACACTTTTTCCTTTATTAAAACAACAATCATGACAACAACAATCGCTTTCAAGGTGCATAAAACCAACATACTGAAATATATGGATGTATTAGGCAACAATGTTTACAAATAATATGGACCATTTATGTTACAATCTCCTAAATGACCATGTATTCAATAAATTCTACCACATGGATCATAATATAATTACACTTTCAATGTTGTCCCATATCATCATTAATAACAATTATATTTCAACTATTTTTTAAAAGTATATATACATTATATCATTCTACTTTGCAAATCTGCAATAGGATCCCAATATTTGACTTTACCGGTTAGACTTTGGCCAAAAAGTTATTTCTTCATCCCTTTATCTTTTGCTTAAGACACTGAGTTTGTTATTCCACAAACAAGATTTTATAATAATAATTTTTTTTATTGTTCGTAACAAACTATGTTGATCAAGTTTATTATTGTCAATTTGCTTTAAGTTTAAATAACAAACTATGTTAACCAAATCCATTATTCTCATTTTGTTTTAAGTGTAAAGGTAATCTCCTTAATTTTTGGCTTAATCCATCAAGTTTGTTATTCCACAAACAATATTTTATAACAATAATTTTTTTTATTGTTTGTAACAAACTATGTGTACCAAATCTATTATTATCAATTTGTTTTAAGTTTAAATAACAAACTCTATTTACTAAGTCTATTATTGTCAATTTGTTTTAAGTTTAAATGTAATTTTCTTATGACCAAGGGTATAACTGTCAACACGAACATATACTCTACAAATTTTAATTTCTTTCATGAATCTTATATTCTTATTTATGCATATTATCATTCCAATTATACCGTCAATCATAAATATTTTCCAAAATAATTATATGTATATTTATCATGTTTCAATATATAGAATCCATACACTTGTGATTAAATCGTTTAATAAGGAAATATTATCTTTAAATCTTTTCAAAATCATGTACCATTATGAATTTAGAAACCATCATTTAATTTTATCTTATTAAAAAGGATTTAATTCATCTATTTTTGATACATATTTTTATTTAATATAAAATCACGACACATGTTTTCCAATTATATCTCTATTTGTTAACCAACTTTAATTCATTATTATCTTCACCAATATTCTTTAATTTCATTCTTTGTATAATCATTTTTATGGTATATTATGATATCTATTTATGCATTTACTCTTCTCTCCAATTTTATGTACTTCATATTACATTTTATAGTATACAATATATATGAATACCAACAATGGAAGAACCAAATCATAAACATCGACATGCCCACCACTGTCAAACATCACAAACGATAAACTTTTAATTTAATATTATCATTAGATGTTCAATACATATAATTTATTGATTTCCTTTTTATATAGTATATATTCCCGTTAAATTTCATATTTAATGCCTAACTAGAGAAGTACTCCCGCATTGTGGTGGTTTGAAACCTTCAATGAAAAGTTAATTTCCATTGTTGTATTAACAATATGAAATATGATTATATACATAGATTAAAGTTTAAAAACATTAACATCCACAAATAAATAAGTAATTTGTAAAAATACAATGCAAATGGTACTTTAGATATTTGACTAAAGACCTGAAGGTGGACATTAACCAGGTCTCCTCTAATTCCACACCTTCTAACACAAGATAACCTACAAAAAAAATATATGTATTAATGGAAGTTATCATAATACTCATGCGACTTTGGTGAGAGGGTGTTTCGTAATATCTCATATTAACAATGTATTTTCAGTATACACCTTTTGAATTTTGCTTTCAGCAATTTATTTGATTTTTTTTTTACTAAAAACAAAAGCACATTGCTATTTGTTATATATATATATATATATTTTTTTTCATATTTACGTGGTATATATACTAAATAACAATGTACTTTGACCTAACGCTTTTTTGTTTCTGTTTCTTGCATTATTTATATTTTTACCAAAAACCAAAATACGTTGTATTATAAATTTCATCTTAAACAATTTAAGTAAATATATTTGAAACTTTCATCTTAAACAATTCAAGTAAATATATTTGAAATTTGATGAGAACAATATAAACAGCTCTAAATTATTGTTATGAAGAATTTAAAAGTTTTATGTAAGCATTATAAAAAAAAATTAGTTATGACAATATAAAGTATGACCACATGGCCCAATATTAAATAATTTCATTTTTGTTTTTGCAAATTTATTTAGAAAACTATTAATCGATTTTGATATTTTTCTTTTTAATTTTTATAATTTTTTTGAAATAGTACTAATTCTGCAATGTGTTTTTACGGCCTCCAAATCAGGTTCTTGGCCCGGTCCTACATCTCAAAGTGAGGGATTACAACAAACCATCAAATTGGAAAATATTATTATGGATTTTGGAAGAAGAAGAAATCGTTACATTGTTCAAGTAATCTGATTATTTAAGTGTACCTTTAATTTCTAACTCTTCCATAGGCTTATTAAGAATTGAGCTAAATGCTAGAAAAAGAAACGTACTTCAACTTATTTGTTTATCCCAACAATCTACTTTTATTTCTTTCTATTACAACATTATACTTTCAGTTATTTTATTTATTAAGACATTGTACGTTAAAAAATTTATCCATCTATAGCATTGCACCTTCAAAATAAAAAATATATTAGGACACTGTGTTTGAAAAACAGCCCATATATAACAATGAAAATTATTTTGTATCAACATTACTATATTAGACACAATTTTCAACATACAAAGTTATAATAAGTAAAAAAGAGCATAGGATGCATCGATGCGATAATAAACAAAAAAAAACAAAAGTACATCTCTGTCTCTTGCATTTAGCCCTTAAGAATTGTGAAAAATCCGTTAACCTATCAGACCCCATAAGTGTTTATATTCAACAAGTAAAGATTTTAAGCAAATAAATATTGTAATTTATGAGCATTAATTTTAGCAGCAAGAAACCCCGAACAAAAAATAACTCCACAGGTAGCAAATGGATGTGCAACAGCATCAGAATTTTTTGTACCAAATGAGAACTGAAAACACAGAAGTTTGAAATTTTAGTAACATAGAGTTTTTCATGAAAATAAATCAAGAAAATGAGGATCATATTGCAATTTATTCTTACCCTCGAGCCATAAACCTCAGCAGGATCGAACCAAGTTATAACATTATCTACACTTGCATCAAATGCGTTCTTACAAGCTTTCATCTTCCTATCTGTAATCGGCTGGAAGAGAACCAGGTCCCGATATCATAAAACCAATAGATAATAGAGCACATAGGCTTAAAAAAGTTCACTGGGAACTTTTCACGAACACCTGGTGGACATTTTTTCAATATTTAATCGAACTTAAATTTTCAATATTTAATCAAACTTACCATCCTATTTGAAATTGTTCCAATAACTGGTATGGCCTCATGACAAAGCACCAATCGCAAGCTTTGTGAACTTCAAATCAGAACCACCCGGCTTCACAAATTTATCTTCCTCATCATTCAACCCTTCTCTCGCTAAAAGAAAAGTTACAGACACTGGTTGGTTATTATGCTTTAACTACTAATCTAAGTAAAAACATTAATTTTTTTATGTTCGATGCAGAAATTCTCCACATCCATCACTACCAGCGCAGTTGCCAGCGGTGATAGATGCAAACCTATTGAAATGTTACATACCTGGTTGAAAACCATTGGAGGATATAAGCGGAGGAACAAATGAATGCGATTTTGAGAGAAACAACTGATGTGCAAAATGCTGGAAATGTCTGAAGAGACTGTTACCGATTTTAGGGCTTTTTAGAAGAGTAACTGAAGAGGAACAAAAGTTAGGGACCTGATGTCGGTGATGGAAATCAAGGAGTTACACATGCCATCCACGAAGAGATCGTGGAAGACACAAAATGGAGGAAATGAGTGGCAAGGGAAGACACAAAATCAAGGAACACCCAAAAGCCCTAATGCTGACGACGGAAAATCGAGGGCTTCCTCTTCCAAGAAAATGTCGATTATGGAAAGAGGACGGACAGAAAGCTGGTAGAAAGAGAGGCATATAAAAAGTCGATGTTTCACCTGAAACCAACCGGCAACAGTCGTCATTTGTCGTTGCATGGTGTTTATGAGGATCGAATCCTACCTCCTATCTCCGATGAAACCTGTAAGAAAAATCGATCGAGATCGGAGAATTTCGACGGTGGAGAAGCTATGTAAAAAAGCAAATGGGATGATAGAGGAGATATGGACAATGGAGCGGTGGAGGATTCAGATAAACTCACCTTGGTAAGTATCTAACCCGATGAACAGTACCTTGGTCTGTTCATGTTCATAAGGAATTTAAAATTAATATTTTGAAGAAAATAACTTCTGCATTCCATACTAATTGTTGAGTTATTCGAAAATGCTCGGAATTGTATTCAAACTCATCATCCCATAACGTCCTACGGCCAAATTTGCAACCTACAACAATTTCATCAAGATCGCCACTTTCAGAAATAACCAATCAAGGTAAATTATTAATAATTACTTTTATACTATTCTCTCACTGTCAGTCAAAACCATATGAAGAGTATAATTTTACTAAATTTAATAAATGTTGTAATAGTAATAAAGTAACAGTTATAAACGGTCTGTATATGTTGTTGACTTCAAATGTCCAAACAAACAAAAATACAACAACTTTCAAGGATGTAATGACGCATCACAACTTTGGTAATAGTTATCACATTGTTATATTACTACTTATTATATTTTTTTGTATTTAATTGATTGTAAATTTAATTTCAGTATATGTACTTTAATATTACATATTCATATTTTCATTTTCATTGTCATTTACAATACAATTTTTTTTTTTCCAGAAAATGATATCTTTATAACGCCTGTTTCTCAAGTTACTCAGGAAGTTACTCCATCACCTTCAACATCATCCTCTCATAACCGTATACCACAAAATATGCAACATTCTTTTATTTCCTCAAGGTCGCCACTATCACATATCACTAGTCAAGGTAAGTTTTTCATAATTATTTTTTTATTATGTTTACCTAAACCATTTGCCAATTTCAAATGACCAAACAATTCAAAATGCAACAACTTTCAATGCAGGTGAAACCTATCTGAACTATGGTTATATATTTCAAATTATGTCATTATTAATTAATACATTGTATTTTTTTTTTCATATAATTACATTCGCTATATTTCACTTTATACATTTTTTCACCTTTAAAAGTTTCTTCACAATTATTACCAACACAATCATTGATCTTATCTAATTATTATATTTTCAAAAAAATGTACTATATTTCAAGAAAATAACACAACAAAAACGACAAGAGGGAAACGAAAATAGTTCAATACAAATGATATTCTTTTTTTTTATTTGAATGATAATTTTGTGGAGAACTCAAGCAATATTACTATTCTTTCTCAACCTTCCTGTGGTTATACTGATAAGGTTGATTACCAATGTATGTTATCATCTATTTTGTTGATACGTCAACTTATGCATTTTTGCACTTAATTTTGTAAATATTTATTGTCTTATTAATAATTTAAATTATGTTTATTTCGTAGCACCAAGAAAAAAGAAACAAACATCTGTGTCTTATAATTCAGTTGGTCAAAATGATGTAAGGATTGACACCCAGACTAAATGTATTGGCATAAACAAAGATGTTGTTTCTTTCTATTTAAAATTTTAAATTTTGGTTATCCAATGAAAATTATCCTTTTAATATGGCATCACACTTTTCATATTAAACTTATAGTATATATTATGTGATGGATTTTTTTTGTTTCTTTATAAATTATTTGGATTCTGGTGATGCAATATACGTTTGCTCTATATGTAAAGCTAACGTTTGGAAGGGAAGCAATAAGAGGAAAATAAAGATTTAAGGAAAACCTCTTATTCCATATGTTGTTATAATGGAAAAGTAGAATTACCAAACTTGATTCACCCACCTCAGTTATTACTTGGTTTACACAGCGGAGTTACTAAAAAAAGTCAGAATTTTATAAAAAATATTCATAGATAAAATATGATGTTTGTATTTACATCTATGGTTGGTAAGACAATCATGCCATTGACTTTGGAGGTGGTCCTTATGTATATCGAATGCATGGACAGAATTATCATATTGCAGACAGCTTACTACCATAGGAAGACGAATTACTGAAATTTTGCCAGTTGTATATATACGATATAGATCACGAGGTCGACAATAGATTTAATGCATATGAATATGTAAATACATTCTATCATATAATAGCATCAAATACACACAAACACAAACACATACACACACACACACATATATATATATATATATGGTTAAAATTTTTATTATGTCTCATAATATTTATATCCATGATTTTGCTTTCCTATTAATGTAGTTCAAAAATGAAAAAATCAATATCTCATAATTCAATGGGAAATTCTTTTCCATTGGAGTTCTTGAGTGTTCATGAGCTAATGGGTTTATTGAATTTTATAAATCCATTAGTTAAGCAATTTAGAATGGCACGTGATCAATTTGGATCGAATCCAACAGAGCGTATTAGGCTTAAATTAATTGGAACAAGAGAAAAGGATGGTAGATAGTATAATCTTCCTACCACATGTGAGGTTGTTGCACTTATTGTAGGTGACACTGACAGTTCCGATTCACGAGATATTGTTTTGGAAACACGAAGTCGTCAACTTCAACGTATTAATGAGTTGCATCTGCAGTATCTTTCACTTTAGTATCCTTTATTGTTCCCTTATGCCAAAGATGAATTTCGATTGTATATATTACATCGTGGTGTCGAAGAACTAAACTCCAAAGGATAAATAACACTTACAATGCGAGAGTTTTTTTTTGCTTATCGTATGCAACAAAGAACTAATAAAATATCTTTAATATTACGTTACAGAAAACTCTTCCAATAATTTTTGGTTGATTCGTATACAATGGTTGAAAATGACCGGCTTAATTATATTCGGTTTAACCAACCAACATTACGTGTCGCTCCTTATGGAGACTTGGCCGAGGTTGCTCAAGAAGGAACTGAAGATGCTTCTACGATGGAAAATCATATTATTATTCCGTCTTCTTTTACATGTGTCAGCCGTTACATGAAACATAATTACTTAGACGCAATGACTTTGGTTATCCTTATATTTTTTTAAGCGTTACATGTAATCCTAAATGGCTAGAGGTAATTAGATTCGTTGAATTTGAAAATCCTAAACCCGAAGACAGGCCCGATATTTTGATAAGAATACTCAAAATAAAACTTGATTCACTAATCACTAGACTCAAGGAAGAAATTTTTTTTAGTTGAAGTCGATGGAGGTAGAAATCTAAAATTAGATTATTCATTTTATTTTATTTTGATTTTATAATATCATGCGTTAACCAAGTAACATATTTGCATCATACATTTATATATACGATCAAGTTTCAAAAAATGAGTCGTCCAAATTGTCACATATGCCTATTTTTAGAAAAAAAAAGTCTAAACTTCCAAATCTCGAAGACATAGATCGCGTTATATGTACTGAATTACCAGACAAGGAACTTGAACCAGATTTGTATCAAATTGTTTCTGACAACATGATACATGGACTTTGCGGCAATGATTTTCCATTTATGTCATGTATGAAAAATGACAAATGTTCTACAGGATTTCCAAAAGATTTTACAAATTATATGTATATTGACGATGATGGTTATCCAGTTACCGAAGACGTTACAACGGAAACAATTTCGTGAAAAACATAGTTTCTTCGGATATTAGGTATAAAAATTAAAATTTTATTATATACACATTTATTTCTTTATAAATGTTATATTTTATAGGAAAAATATGTTAAATGATCTTACTTTTCTTTATGATATTTTGTTTTTTTTAGATATGATGTTCCATATAATAAGATACTTTTGAAACAATACCAAACCCATATGAATCTTGAGCGGTGTAATCAGTTTGGATCGATAAAATACCTGCAACGTTGTCTACAAAAAGATCCTGCAATGTTTATGTAGTTGTTTCTTTTGTAACAAGCAAAAAAAGTTTGAAGGTACATGTGACGAGAAAGATCATTAAAGTAATAAAACAAAAAACGTTATCTACAAAGAGGTCCTGCAACGTTTATAGATATTTATCGATTTCAATTTTTCTTTTTCACATTTTAATAATAACAATGGCTATAAATTGTTTTTATAATTATTATGCAATATATATAGATGTTTATATATATTTTTTAATATGTTCCCACACGTTTAACGCGAGTTATAATCTAGTTAAATCAGTTAGTCAAGTTTTCAAATTTAATCAATATTAATTTTATTTTAGGATGACATTATCTCAATGATCTAAGGATTGAAATTAATTAAGAAAACATAATGAATGACTATGATTATTGAAAGTGATATCATCAAGTTTTTCTTTTTAATATATATAGAGAAGAGATGGATGAGTGGACTTCTTATATGTTTTATTGTAACTAAACAGTAAATTAGAAATTATTGGTTTTTGTATAATGGTGCAGTTTTTGTTTAATAGTATTTTTTGTTTATTAGTTGTAATTTGTTTAATGATTTGTTATTTCTAATAGTGCTAGTTCTATTTTCTGGTGCGATATTTTAGTAAAACGGTTCTATTTGTTGGTGTTATACTTTAATAGGGCAGTTTAATATTTTTTGGTAGTATTATTTAATAAAATAGTTCTTAACTTTTGGTATTTTACCCGGATATTTCATAAGATGGTTTGCAGAGTTTTTTAATGCGGTTGTGGAACCACATCAACAAGTAATCTTATTTTATGATGTGATATTTGTTGCTGCAGTTTGATACCCGCATCAACATCAACAAATAATAATAAAACATCATTAAACCTCTTTGTACCGGTGTCAACCAACTTGGAGCTTAATTTCTACACCATTAATTAATAAACTTCTAATATACTCCTTATAATATGTTAGAAGTTTGTTATGTTTATTGAACATGGAAAATTGACGAGATTAGGTAGACTTTCATAGACCAATGTCACCTTCCAATTAAGACTTTGTGACAACGTTGTGTGCAAAATTAATTGCCGACGGCTATCCAGTCGTACTGCCCAAGTGTTGAAAAATGCATAACCAACCATTCGTTAACTCCATTAATTACTAGTCAAATACACCGATATTGTTATACGTAAACATTTTCCACCGACGGATGTATTTATACCCGCTTCTTCAGGGCGACTTTCGTGGGTTATGCCTCTTCTATAAATTCATGCAAGAGATACCGCTACACAATTCATATCCTCCATACCCATCCTTCTTTCTTTGCACTCTTCTCTAGATATTTAGAAATGAGGACAGCAGCATGCACGACAGTTTTTGCTGTAGTAATTCTGGTGTTGAGCTTGACCGGATCCCAGATGGCAACGGCGGTCACATGCTCAGTGACGGAGCTGTCTCCATGTTTGCCGGCGATCACATCATCATCTCCACCAAGTGGGACGTGCTGCGCGAAGCTGAAAGAGCAGAAACCATGTCTGTGTGGGTACATCAAGAACCCAA